AGCTGTCAGGGGTGGGGGCTTGGGGAGCATGGACATTCTAGTGACCCTGTGTGGAGTGGAGTGAATGTTGCTGGTGTCTCCCTAAAGAATCTGCACCCTGATTTAGGCACTGATGCAGATAAGGAACAGTGGAAACAAGTTCACAAACAGGTGGTTGACAGTGCTTACGAGGTAATCAAACTGAAAGGCTATACATCCTGGGCCATTGGCCTATCTGTGGCAGATTTAGCAGAAAGTATGATGAAGAATCTTAGGCGGGTGCATCCAATTTCCACCAAGATTAAGGGTCTCTATGGAATAAAAGATGACATCTTCCTTAGTGTTCCTTGCATCTTGGGACAGAATGGAATCTCAGATGTTGTGAAGGTGACCCTGACACCTGAGGAAGAGGCCCGTTTGAAGAAGAGTGCAGATACACTGTGGGGGATCCAGAAAGAGCTGCAGTTTTAACGTCTTCTGATGTCATACCACCTCACTCTCTAGGCTACAGCAGGATTTTAGTTGGAGATTGTGCATGTTGTCCTTTTTATCTGATCTGTGACTAAGAACATCAGTTTCCTAAAGACAGAAATAGTAATGGTTTATAAAACCCAGCATCTGCATCCTGATGCTGGAGGGTCGTTATCTTTTGTAGTCCTAAACTGGTTAGTGTGAAATAGTTCTACCTCCTCAAAGGCACCACTGCCAATGTTGCTCACACTACAGTTGCCCTTCAGACTAGATGTGTGTTCACTGTGTGTTATATAACTTGTGGTTCCTTTTTCTATAATTAGTCACATTCTGGGATCCAATGTAAATCCAATATTGCATGTTTTGTGCATAACTGTTCTAAAGGCTCTTATTCTGTGTACTGTATTATCAGATTAGTGTACATTGCCATATAATGTAAAAAGAAAAATCTACATATAAATAATACAGCCAACTATCCAAGTGTCATACCAACTAAAATGCCAAGTAAACCTTGAACAGTGAAAAAAAAATATTTTAAAATATTGTATTTCCTTATATTTTCCTCCAGTACTTTTATAGTTTCATTTTTATGTTAAACAATTTGATTTATGTATAATTGATTTAACTATAAATAATGAAGTAGTAGTCCAGCTTGTTTTTCCTCAACTCTAGCCTCTGAAAGAACTTAAAATAGAAGGGGACTAGAGATTTTTACCTATCATTTGATATTTTTCTGGACTATTTCTTTTTTTTTAACCAAGCATATATACGTCTTTTATAATTTTAAAACTAATTTTTAAAATGATTTTCATCTTTTTTATCATCTAAATCTGAATATATCTGACCCTGGATTTTATACTCTCCTGGGATAGTTTTTTTTTTAAGTTTTCCATACCTCCTCTCACATTATGAATCTATTATTCCCTGAGTACTGTCGTTATCCCTCCTACTAACGTCAAAACTGATGAGATTTAGATGATAGAGGCCCATAACTGGGAACTCAAGTAGAGGAGAATGAGCACTGGAGCCAGAGTGTGGACAATGCCTAAATCAGGAGTGAGAGGTACATGCTATTTCTATGGACATGAAACAAAGATAGAGCTGGGACCTTTGGCCAGATACTTTATGGAGTGAGCCCAGAAGGCCAACTTCAGCATGGCTGATTGCTCAGAGGCTGTGTTAACTACAGAAGAAAGATGGGTCCAAGACGACTGAGAAGGTTCTCCATATGACACATAAACTCACCTCTTCTTGATGAAGCAAGCAGCCCCATAAGACTGTGAGTCATGGGAATGGGCACTGGGACTGCACTCAGTACCATTCGCTCTAGTTAAACACCAGAAAACACCTGATCCAAGTTAGCAGAGTGGTTTAATATATGCGAAGTGCTCCAATCAGGACTGTTGCCATGGAAGAAAGCATTTAGCCCTATTGTCTTGTTCTTCTCAGAAGCTGTTGTTGGTGCAACCTAGTCTCAGGTCACAGAGCTGAGGAAATGAATCAAGAAACTGCTCAGGTCATGGTGTCACCAGGTGTGGCCTCCACATGCAGAACGGCACTGGCAAGTTTGCGGACCTGTACATGCAAATGCTCTGCCAGCAAATGCATTATTGACACCAAGGACCACACCATCCAGATGAGCATGGCTGAAGTTGACAAAGTGACAGGCAGGTTCAATGTCCAGTTTAAAACCTATGCTGTCTGTGGGACCTTTTGCAGAATGGGTGAGTCAGAAAACTCCATTCTCTGGCCAAGGCTAATAGCATTATCTCACAGATGTGGCATATTTGTCATAAATAAATAGTAAAAAAGAAAAAAAGAAAAAAAAAGAAATGGCTTTCACCACACGTTCAAATATGCCAGGAAGAATGCCCTACCCTAGACTACAGCCATCAGCAGCAGAGGGGACTAGGCAGGGACAACAGTACACAGAACCAAACTCCACCAAGGAAAGGTAAACACAACACCATCAAGTCCCAAGGCTTTACATTTATTGGTAAAGCTCTTTATTGCTATTAACTAGAGGCCTGGTGCATGAAATTCCTGCATGAGAGGGGGGGCGGTCCCTCAGCCCGGCCTGCATCATCTAGCAATCTGGGACCACTTGAGGGATGTTCGACTGCTGGTTTAGGCCCAATTCTGCAGGGATCCCTGAGGGATCAGGACTAAACCGGCAGTTGGACATCCCTCTCGCAATCCAGGACCGCTGGCTCCTAACTGCTTGCCTGCCTGCCTATCTCATCACCCCTAACCACTCGCCTGCCTGCCTGATCACCCCTAACTGCTCACCTGCCTGCCTGATTGCCCCTAACTGCTCACCTGCCTGCCTGATTGCTCCTAACCGCCTCTGCCACAGCCCCCACTGCCGCAACTCCATCCAGAAGGATGTCCGGAATGATGTCTGGAAGGTCATTCGGCTGTCCAGTCTAATGAGGATATTACGCTTTTATTATTATAGATAGTAATATTCTAGCACAGATGAGGAGCAAGCAGATCAGATTTATTGATAATTCAGGCAGCCACTGGAAGGTTTATGACTCAACAACTGTCAAAACTCAGGCTAGCTCAGGCCTCAGGGACTGCCCTACCACCACAGTGACAAGGACCAGCAAGGATCTTCTGTAGTGGTCAATCTAGGGGAGCAAGCCCAGGCCAACACACACACAGTGAAAAACCAAATCAAAAAGGATGCTGAGGACTGAGAAAATTAAGTCCAGGTTTTCTCAAATACAGTGAGTGATAACCAGGTCTGGGGCAGGGGCGGGGGAGAGGCTGGGGAGGGGAAAAGTCACTCCCTTTAAGCCAGAACCCCATGCTTCTGCAGTTGACCACAGTTCCTCATGTGTTCTGGACTCTCTGTGCCACAGCAGGATTCCAGAATTTTTAGGGATATTTCTGGGTGCAGGCAGAACTGATGGTCTCTTCTTGCCTTTGGCTCAACCTGACCTCTAAGTCTGGCTTTTTTTCAAATATGATTTGGAGACAGTTAATCCAAATATCCTTAGCCTTCATTAATTCAACTCAACAATCAATATGGAACAAGTATGGTGTGGTCATGTTATCACACAGTGCCTTAGGTCTCAAATGTTTATGTGCCATTGGTAAATAGGTGCCATTGGTAAATAGGTGCCATTGGTAAATAGGTGCCATTGGTAAATAGGTGCCATTGGTAAATAGGTGCCATTGGTAAATAGGTGCCATTGGTAAATAGGTGCCATTGGTAAATAGGTGCCATTGGTAAATAGGTGCCATTGGTAAATAGGTGCCATTGGTAAATAGGTGCCATTGGTAAATAGGTGCCATTGGTAAATAGGTGCCATTAAAGTCTAAGAAAATCAAGATAGTTGGTACGCTGTGATGGGGAGGGAGACAGATCTGCAGGGGCACCTGAAAACTCTAATTAGTTGCAATAACTGTGGGCATTGACGCCTCTGTGTGAATATAACAGAGACTGGCTTGGCGCTCCAATCCCATTTCCTCACCTGCAGACATAGGAAGCCTCCCTGACAATTAAGTTGAAGCCATGTAATAATTTTTGCCTGTGCCTGGCCCTAAAATTTCCCACAAGAACCTTGACTCACTCTCCCCTATATGCATGGTTGGAAGTGAAGGATTCTGAAATGATGGAGTTTACAAGATGGAAGCAGCCAGAGTACCTGAATTTCTACTTGAAGAAAATCTGCCCATGGGTGCCACAAAGCCTGAATTGGACTGTGACACAAGCAATAAATTCTTATTGGGTTAATTCATTGAGATTTGGGGATTGTGTATTAGGCTGCCCTACCATTGAGCAAGTATGGATTGGGGAGGGTCAGGTAGCCATTTTCCCCACTGAGGTGCCATTGGTAAATAGGTGCCATTGGTAAATAGGTGCCATTGGTAAATAGGTGCCATTGGTAAATAGGTGCCATTGGTAAATAGGTGCCATTGGTAAATAGGTGCCATTGGTAAATAGGTGCCATTGGTAAATAGGTGCCATTGGTAAATAGGTGCCATTGGTAAATAGGTGCCATTGGTAAATAGGTGCCATTGGTAAATAGGTGCCATTGGTAAATAGGTGCCATTGGTAAATAGGTGCCATTGGTAAATAGGTGCCATTGGTAAATAGGTGCCATTGGTAAATAGGTGCCATTGGTAAATAGGTGCCATTGGTAAATAGGTGCCATTGGTAAATAGGTGCCATTGGTAAATAGGTGCCATTGGTAAATAGGTGCCATTGGTAAATAGGTGCCATTGGTAAATAGGTGCCATTGGTAAATAGGTGCCATTGGTAAATAGGTGCCATTAAAGTCTAAGAAAATCAAGATAGTTGGTACGCTGTGATGGGGAGGGAGACAGATCTGCAGGGGCACCTGAAAACTCTAATTAGTTGCAATAACTGTGGGCATTGGCACCTCTGTGTGAATATAACAGAGACTGGCTTGGCGCTCCAATCCCATTTCCTCACCTGCAGACATAGGAAGCCTCCCTGACAATTAAGTTGAAGCCATGTAATAATTTTTGCCTGTGCCTGGCCCTAAAATTTCCCACAAGAGCTTTGACTCACTCTCCCCTATGTGCGTGGTTGGAAGTGAAGGATTCTGAAATGATGGAGTTTCCAAGATGGAAGCAGCCAGAGTTCCTGACTTTCTACTTGAAGAAAATCTGCCCATGGGTGCCACAAAGCCTGATTGGACTGTGACACAAGCAATAAATTGTTATTGGGTTAATTCATTGAGATTTGAAGATTGTGTGTTAGGCTGCCCTACCATTGAGCAAGTATGGATTGGGGAGGGTCAGGTAGCCATTTTCCCCACTGCTGATGGTGACCTCAAGCATAAATAAATCCCTTGAAGCCCAGAATAAAAGAAAGGAATTGGACTCCCTAGGCAGGTCTTAATCAGAGAGCAGGAACAGAGCCTCTTCATGGCCTACAGCCTCCCTGGTGATTGTCACTGGGATGGCTTCTCCTTCCAGCAAAATCCCTCCTACTCACAGGGCTATGGCCTGCCCGGTTGACCTCACACGTGGATGGTGGCATCACCTGCCACCAACTTCAGGAGGAAGAACAGCTTTAGAGGAAAAGCAAATGCAGAGACTCAGACCCATAATAATACAATGGAAAGCTATTCACCAGGGTACTGTAGCTAGGGAGCCTATTTCCAGAGGTCATCCAAGATATGAATTAAGTAAATTTTTTTTTAACTTTCCCTTTCCCACCGCTGGACACCTGCCTGGTTGTTTCACTGTGGTGGTGTTGTTTACCAATGACATAATACTTTCTAAGCCTAAGGCGATGTGGGAACATTTAGCCATTATATAGTGATCACTCGAAAAACTTCTGTTGAAATTAATAGGTACAACTGAGAGAGCGTGGATCAGAGGCACACCCTTAGCGTCTCCAAATCAGATTTGAAAAGAAGCAGTGGCCATACTAATCCCACAGTCCCACAGTAGGACCAGGGGTACCACGGTCAACTGCAGAGTCATGAAGTTCTGGCTCAGAAGGAAGAGCTCTTCCCTTACCCAGCCCCATACACTGCCCAGTTGT